CAAAGAAAAGGCTCCATCCATCTTGCAGCATGGATCCTGGTGAACAAATGATCGACTCGCTCCGAAAAATCCAAACTAACGATACCGAACCAGAAGAGGAAGACGGGGACCTTTTCGAGATAAACCTCGAAATCGTCGACAAAATCCCGCCAACTCAATATTATTCGGGGAGCAATGATTTTTCGGCCACTGGCAACACGCTTCTGGCCAACTGCTTGCTGCCGATCGCTGATGTCTCTCGTGCCGTTCCAGTGGTGATGTGATGTCGATCGGCTTCTTGATGTTGTAGAGTGATTAATTGCTAGGAAATGAAAATTCCACGATGTCATATTATTCGACGAGTTCATAGTTTAGGAAGATCTACGGTCCCGTTACGGAACCATTCCGTGAGATTTGTAACCGTCAGATTAACTATTACTGACGGTTACATGATGATCTAACGGTTACAAATCTCGACGGAGTTGTTCCGTAACTAAACCGTAGCACCCCATAATTTATACGTGATGAAATGTATTTAATTTGGTACATTTTGGCGTTTCACCTCTTTTTTTTTCTTATCTTTTTTTTTTCTAGTGATTGATATCTAGTTGATCATGGCTCATGGGTTGATTTTATTTTATATATATTGTAGAATTTGTTTGGGGAAATATTGAACCAATTTTAAATGAAGGTGACAAATTGCATTGTTCTACGTACAAACGAGTCAATAATGTTACATGAAAATAACTATTTTCACATTGCTATAAAAATACACAGAATTTTTCATACCACCAATTAATAAGTTAAATCTTCAACCAAACATATGAAATAAATTATGCGTTAAACATGCTACATACATACGGAGATAATTGAGAAATTGTGCAACAATTATGCGACAGACAAACGAAGTTATTTGAACAAGTGTTATGCAATAAAATATGCGACATGCATGCGGAGATAATTAAGCAAGCCTGATCTCATTATGAGATAATATATACGACAAATAGATGAAATTAATTGAGGAAGGTCGTAACTTCCTAAATAATTGACCTTGTTGTGTACAAAATTTTTTTTACCGAGTACCGATTCGTAGATTCGTTTCCCGGGTTGATCTCTCGAGGAAGGCGGTTCGGAATTTAGCTCTGGTATTGATAGCACATAAAAAGATAAAATCCTAACATTCTAATCAAGATGAATTGGATATTATCAACTAAGAAATTAAGAACATGCAAAAATATAAATCTACCTAAAAATAAGAACGAAACAAAGATGGAGAAAAGCTAGGGAATCGGGGATAATTAATTCAAGTTCTAGCAAAGTCGGGCAATTAATCGTTCGGTTCGAGATTGACACTCTCGCTTAGACATCTAGCTGTTCGCTCCCAGTAACTCTTCGTAACAAAGGAATTAATCTATCTTATGCAAGCCTAGGTCTACGACTTCTCCCCTTTCGGTTCTAAAAGTCGCTAATTCAGTTAGAAGAGTATTAATCAACTAACCATATAGAATCGACAAATCCTAATTCAACAAATTAACATTCAATCGTTTCCAACTGCAAGATCGAAGTGCCACTCTTCGATTATATCAATCAATCAAACAAGATTTCATCAATTCCTAATCAATTCAACTCATATAAGCATGAACAAATCAAGCCCGAAAAATATACGTTAAACAAGAATAATCATCCTCTATCCCTAGCAATAAGAATTAGCTACGTAAAATCAATCCAACACAATTAATCATTCTCTTCAAGTCAACCATTTTCATGAATTAATTGAAAGATAAAAACTTACATTTAGTCCCAAAATTCAAGTGTTGAATGGAATTACAAGCTTAATCCCTAAGTGCTATGAAGAAGAAGAAGAAAATTGGAGAGAAAGGTAAGAAGAAGAGAAAAAATGAAGAAGAAAAGAGAAGGAAGGAGAAGGAGAGTTCTGCCGTGTTTTTTCGGAACCTAGGGTTTTCACTCGGTTGAGAGATGTGAATCTTCTGAACAAAGTCGATCGCATATATATATACCCGCAGATGACACGGCGTGAGGCGCCTGGGTGCGACGTGAGGGACCACGTATGTCGCAGCGTGAAGAGTGTCGCGATGTGAAGAGCGGGCAAGTAGCATGAAAAGTCTGGGCGCGGCAGTCCTCGCGGGAAGTGGCGCAGTGCGGCGCGGTGATCTGGTACTGCCGTGGCGTGAGGACACAACACGGCATAACGCTGAATATCTGAGGCTCTGTACACCCGTTATGCTGGGCGCAAGAAGTACCGCGACGCGGCGCTACTATCTTGCCGCGACGTGAAGGTGTGACACGGCGTGAAGACCTGGGAGTGCTGCGGCGCGGGGATAGAATACTGGGTCTCTGAACGCTCGTGATGCGTGTCGCGGCGCGGGGACCTGGGCGTGGCAGTCTGGGAGCTTGGGCCTGGTTGCACGCCTTTGCATTTTGTGTTCGTTCGAGCTCGTTTGGAAACTGAATACATTTCCATTTTTTCTTGTGTGTTGCCAACGAAACCTACTACGACATTAAGCTCATCAAATAATTTTCCTCCTCCATATCAAAATCGACAGGGATTTGACCTGCACACCAAAAACGAAATAAAATTGGAAAAATACACAAAAAACACGAAAAAAGACCAACTTAAGGAAATCACGCCACAAAACACAAAACTCACTAAAAGAGAAAGAAAAGACCTAAAATGGGGGTTAAAGAAGGGTAAAACAAATACGAAAAAATGCAACAAAAATGGGACAAACAGACCTTCTACCCAGTCTCGATTTTTACTTTAAAATGTCCAAACATTAACTAACTAATTACCCTAGAAAAGAATAAATGAAAAATGAAAGCTAAAAACATTAACTAATACGAGACTATCCAACTCAAATCTCGACCAGGATTCCACATTTACCAATAAACACTTTTTTAATAAAAGGTCAAAAATTTTGAAGTAATGTATCCTTGAACCTCTTAAACTAGGTTCTTACACTTCTAGTGCATTCTCGAAAGAAACTGAAGTGAAGAGCTCAAAACTTGCATTGGAACGAGCAACATAAGAAATTGGGTCTTGGAGCTCTCAGAAATGACATTACCAAAATACGGAGAAGAAAAATCTAAAAGGATTACTACTATAAAAAATTGCTAGAATGAGAGAATGATCCAAAATTTAGAGGACTATACACACACTGAAAACATGCACAATTTAAGAAATACACTCGCGACTTGTGGAGTATTTCGCTAGGACTCACGACTTGTGAGTTTGTGTGCTGGACGAGGGCGAATGAGGTGTGCGCACTTGCATCTCGTGCGTGATTCTTCGGGCGAGGATAGATTGGCCACCGGGCACTCGTGTGTAGTAGGCGACGTCGTTGGGCGAGCTGGGCGAGGCCTAGGCACTCGCGAGCTAAAAAAAAGTCCACTGGGCTACATGCACACTCGTGGGCTGCAAAATGGATAATTGGTTGTGAGTCTCGGTGGTAGGCATGTGGGCGTCATCGATGACGAACTGCTAGCGTAGCGCTATTCCCTCGGTGATAGGCAGGCGGGCGTCCTCGGCGATGGGCAGCTTGTGCGGGCGAGTTAGTGTTTATTGTGTTTTTGTCGTTATTTTTATGTATTTTGTGTGCTTTATTATTTAGTTTTAGGCTCGTTTTAGTGTCGACCGGTCTATTTTATCGTGTTTTGTGTATTTTTGTTATTGTATAGTGTTTTTGTATTTTTGCACGTTTTCTATTTTGTTTGGTGTTGAATAGGTCCAATGTGTCGAGAACGAGGAGACGAGCCGTCCGAGCTGATTGAGTCGTCCAACCCGGAAAATCCGACCAAGCCATACCGGGACAAAGAGAATTCAATGAGGAGAATTTTGGTCTAAGTTTCATGCGAATCGGAGTTGTGTGCGAGAAGTTAGAGCGAAACAAAGTCGCACATGACCGAGACCAAACCATGGCAGCCCAGCCCACGAATCGCATTCCGCACCGCAAATTCGTGTTATCCCGCGAGTCCGCCTAGCGCTGCCCGCAAGTCCTAGTTCGCGCCCGCGAAGAGGGCCTAACCCGCGAGTTTCCAGCATGTTGCTCCCAGTGCCCGCGAGTTCCAAGTTCGCGCCCGCAAAAGCACATCAACACCGCGAATTCTCTTTCAGCCGTGCCCAGTAGCCTGCGAGCCCCATGTCCACGCGCGTGAGAATTTTCGCGACCTCGAGAGCGCCTGCTGCACTAGGACTCGCGACCACGCGAGACATACCGCGACCACGCGAGTTCCCTTCTTGTACGTCCCCCGCGCGCACCTATGCCCAGTACCACCGCACGCCCGCACACCCGCACTGCCCAGCGTGTCCGCGCGCTCGCGGATTTCCCGGCGAGCTCGAGAATGCTGCGCCTTCCATGCCCGTGCTGTTGTTGCCTGCGAGCTCATGAATTCCGTGGCGACCTCGAGAGTGTCCTATTAAATGTGTATTTTTTAGTGTGTGTTTGTGGTGTAGCTATATAAAGACATTGTGCTTTGTATTTTTGGACATAACTCTCATTTTACAACTTTTAAGTTGGGAAAATTCTCTCTATTTTCTTTTTTTCCTTTTTTTTATTTTTGGTTTGGAGCATATGAATCAAGTTTTCCGGCGAATTTCTCGCGATATTGTTTCGAGTAAAGTTTCGAGCTTTTGACTCTGTTTCTCTTCCCAAGCGCGTGTGAGAGTGGGTACTTAGTCTTAAGCCTCATTACTTCGTATATCTTTGTTTGCTTTTTGTAAAAATTGATATTGTGCTTGTGTTGCTTGGAGGAAAAGATTGAATCTTTAGATCGTGAATGCTTGACTAAGTGTGATTAGGAGTTGAATGCTTGCTCGTATTGTGCTATAGTTGGGTTTAGCTTCCTAGGGTTTTAGCTAGCATGGCAATATTCGGTTATTTGAGTGTGATTGATCATGGAGACTCCGGCAAACCAAAATCTCTCTTTCCCCCTTAAATTCTCTCATCTCTTAGCGTGCTTTAATTGCTTTCAATGCCCTCAATTTCGTAGATTAGTTTAGCTTAAATCGAACCCCTCAATTCAAGCGATTAGCATGTTTAGGATCTTTTTGGTTGTATGATTTTGACGACTAGGTAGTGAACGAAGCTCCGAACAACCTTCCTTTGAGAACGACCCCAGTCGGGTAGCTCGGTTACCACATACCCAAAAATACTACAAACAAAATGGCGCCGTTGCCGGGGAAGGCGAGTAGGACGCCAAGTTTGCTATCTAGTTGTCGTTTGTTTCCGTGTTTCTCTTGCTTTTTGTGGATTTTGCTTGTTTTTGC